TAACTCATAAATAGTCCCGTGGGTGTCGTAAAAGGCGACAGAGGAGGGAAACAAACCAGGAAATGGGAAGCAGCATCTTTCTAATAACAACAATAAAGTAAAATAAACTCTTTTGCGAATTCGCCTGCCAAACGTGGCAACTATTGCAAATAGTTACCACGCTTGGCATTATTAGGCGATCGCGAGCAGGCCTATTTCAGCAGAGGACTTTTATAGGTTGTGATAGATAATGATAATGGAAAAAAATCTTACTTCGAAAGACATAAAGCCTTAAATAAAGATAAAAAAAACTAGTATTCATAGTAACTTATAACAACTGTACTATAACATTATCATCATTGTTTCTATAACAAAGATGATAATGGTACTGATTGTGTTGGCTGATTTCAATTAATACTACGATAACATCTGAATACTTTTTCACGTGGTAGAGCCATGCTGCAGCTAAATTAGTAGTATAGTTGTAGCACAAATGGGTCGGCTCCACGCTCTCACAGAATATCAGCGTAAAATGGCAGCTTGACAGTGCTGTGTTTCGTATGGTGGATGTAGAGAACCGGAGACCCATTTTACTGGAAAAGAGGCATTCCATCTTATTCCTCACGGGTGACGACGCATCTGCATTTTGATTCTTTATTGAGGATTAAAGTAGATGTCTATGGGTCCCAGCAACCACTTAGCATAAGGTGGATTGTGTGTTCGTTTGTCACCCTATCCTATAAAAAAATACTGTGGGCGCCATCGACTACGCTATTTTTCTTGGGTGAGTGTCTTATGCATGTGGATTATGTTTCGCGAAAATTTGCATGTATCGTTGCATCAAAGTGGTGTTCGATCTTCAAGCTCCTGTAAGAATGCATTACTTAGTAAGTAGGAGTGCTATCAGGCCTGGGCTGAGGCTTCGGCGGCTCGGGATGGAAACACCAGCATGCTTAAAAAGAAGTATAACTTTGCGTCCAGGTCCTTCAAAAGAGTTATTGCCAAGGCAAAGTCAGAGCACACAGACAGAATTGGCGAGAAACTAGTTCGCCTTCCTTCGGGAACCTGTGCATTCTGGTCTCTCGCCAAGGCTGTCCAAGGGAATTTCTGTAAGCCATCACTACCATCTCTGCACAGGGAGGACGACTCTCTAGCCCACGCCGCAAAAGAGAAAGCCGACCTTTTAGGCTCCCTTTTTGCGTCCAACTCGACTCTTGATTAAGGGGTGAATACACCGCTGACCATCCCGCAGTGTGAGTGCTCCATGCCGGATGTGCGGTTCTCGCAGCGATCGGTCCACAAAGCACTCCTCTCCCTGGATATCCACAAGTCGAGTGGGCCTGACGGAATCCCCCCAATTGTGCTGAAGACGTGTGCTCCGGAGTTGGCACCGGTTCTAACGCGTATTTTCCGATACTCCTACTCCCTAGGCGTAGTCCCGAAATCATGGAAGACAGCTTTTGTCCACCCGATCCCTAAAAAAGGCGACCGCTCAGACCCGTCCTACTACAGGCCTATCGCCATCACCTCCTTGTTCTCGAAAATAATGGAGTCCATTATTAACTGCCAGCTCATGCGGTGAGCTTGAGGAGCACCAGCTGATTAGTGACTGCCAGTACGGTTTCCGTCGGGGTCGCTCAGCTGGTGATCTTCTAGTTTACCTAAGACATAGATGGGCGCAGGTGATCGAGTCCAAAGGCGAGGCATTGGCCGTTAGTTTGGACATAGCGAAGGCCTTCGATCGGGTCTGGCACAAAGCGCTTCTTTCGAAGCTCCCTTCCTATGGGCTTCCCGAGAAATTATGCAATTGGATCACCAGCTTTCTTGCAGATCGGAGCATCAAGGTCGTTGTAGACAGTTCATGCTCCGACTACAAGCCTATTAACGCTGGTGTTCCAAAAGGCTGTATGTGTGTCTTCTGTATCTCTATATGTTCTCTATCATCAACGCTGTCTCTTCTGCATATCAATGATATGTTGCAAACCGGTAGCATTCATTGCTATGCGGATGACAGCACTGATGATGCTCTATACACCGGCCGTGCCAATATTTCTCGGGAAAACGTCGCCGAGTAACGGAACAAACTTGTGCCTGAAGTCGAGTCTTTATTGAACATAGTCTCGGATTAGGGGCGCCTAATCTAGTCCTGTTTAATCCTCAGAAGACACAAGTTTGCACGTCTACCGCTAAAAAGAACCCCTTTGTCGTATCTCCTCAGTTTCAAGGCACTTCCCTTGTTGCCTCGGCCAGTATCGGAATCCTCGGCGTCGACATATCGAGTGACGTGATGTTTCGTGGTCACTTGGAAGTGAAGGCCATATAGGCCTCTAAAAAGCTTGGCGTGCTCAGCAGAGAGGGACAGTATTTCATGCCGGCACAACGCCTGCAACTTTACAAGGTGCAGGTTCGGCCTCACATGGAATACTGTTCCCATCTCTGAGCTGGGGCTCCACAGTGCCAGCTCCTTCCACTTGACCGCATCCAGCGCAGAGCGGCTCGAATCGTCAACGACCGAGTCCTTTCCGATCGGCTCGATTCATTGGCGCTGCGAAGAGATGTTGCATCTCTTTGCATTTTCTTTCGCATTTACCACGGGGAGTGCTCTGAGGAATTGTTCGGATTAATCCCAACCGCCAAATTTCACGAACGCACATCGCGGCAGAACTCCCGATACCATCCACACCATCTGGATGATTGGCGGTCCACCACTGTGCGATTTGGAAGATGTTTTCTTCCTCGCACAACTTCCTTGTGGAATAGTTTACCACCTGCGATTTTTCCGGACCGATACGACTTAAGGACCTTCAAGAGCCTACTCCTTTTTAAAAGGCCGGCAACGCATCTGCAATTCCCCTGGTACCCCTGGTGTTGCGGTTGTTCATGGGCGGCGGTAGTCACTTACCATCATATGAGCCGCATGCTCGTTTGCCCCCTATGCTATAAAAAAAAATTCGTTGCATATATACAAGTACGAGTATTTGTGAGCAGTGAAAACTGGTCTTTCACAAAACTTTAGTGAATTTTCAAAATTTCATGGTTGTTATTCTCATTTCATCAAAGGGAAAATATTTTTCAGCAACATTATTTAAGCTTTAAAATTTTCCTACTTTCATCTTGTTAACACATGGACTCCAGAATGTATGGAAACGTTTTCATCTCCTTTAAAAATATTCCATTAACTGGTTACTCATTTTTAATAAAAGCAGCTAATTGTGTCACTACTGACCTCGACCGAGGACACGTTTTTCGCGTAACGTTCTTGCCTATAAAGCCCAGAGCATTGACCTAGACAGCGAGTCATTTTCCATGTCTACTTCGTACATTACGGCTAAAATATATCTATTAGAAACCTTGAGGATATTTTAAGATCTCGTATTTTTATTACAAGCAATACATTTAAAAAAGCCTTTTACTGACGTAATATCTCAACGGCACGCCCTGTTTATACAATATACATACTATGTATATATATATATATATATATATGATTCATCGCTAGCTCCATAATATATATATATATATATATATATATATATATATATATATATATATATATATATTATGGAGCTAGCGATGAATCAGGGCACTATTTATAATACCCGAGGAGTTCACCATTTTTCTCTCAGATCGGAGCATTAAGGTCGTAGTCGACGGTGCATGCTCCGACTTCAAGCCTGTGAATGCTGTGCTGTGTTAAACAAGTAACATTCATTGTTATGCAGATAACAGCAAAGGCGATGCCTTATACGCTGGCCGTGCTTATATTTCTCGAGAACACGTCGTCGAGTACCGGTATAAACTTGTGTCTGAAGTCGAGTCTTTGTTGAACAAAGTGTTAGATTGGGAGCGACTAAATCTAGTTCAGTTCAATCCTTAGAAGATACAAGTTTGCGCGTTTACCGCTAAAAAGAATTCCTTTGTCGTATCTCTTCTGTTTCAAGGTACTCCCCTCTATGCCTCAGCTAACATTGGAATCCTCGGCGTCGAGATATCGAATGACATTCAGTTCCGCGGTGACTTGTAAGGGAAGGCCAAATTGGCTTCTAAAAAGCTTGGCGTGCTTTGTAGAGCGGGACAGAATTTCGCAAGTCCAGCCTCACATGGAATACTCACAACTCTAGGCCGGAGCACACGAGTGCCAGCTATTTCTACTTCATCGCATCCAGCGCACAGTCAGTGACTGAGCTTTTTCTGATCGTCTTGACTCAGTGGCACTGCGAAGAGATGCTGCATCGCCTGGTGTTGCAGTTGTTTATGGGCGGCAATAGTCACTTACTGATGGTAAGCCGCACAGCCGGTACTGGTGAGCCACATGCTCGTTTGCCCCCTCTCATATAAAAAAACCCCGAACAATATGAATATTGACAAGTAAAATTGGGCTATCTAATTAATACTGATTTAAACTTCAATATTTATCACATTTTCTGTTCATTACGAGTATTCACTTACCATCCGGTGGATTGTGTACTCGTTAGTTACCCTCACATAAATAAAATCAGAATCTGAGGTTATTTTTCAGACAGGTTTCGTCAGCATTTTATTCTTTACCGACAAAAACGTAAATCAGCACCTCTGTTGCAATTTCATCCGATTTAATTTTCAAGAATTTCATTGGTGCTGATCATACTCGATTTGTTCGCGTCGAACGTTCAACGCCTAAGCTCCCACAGCTAAAAGTATTCAAAAGTACTCAAATTGCCATCGGATCTAATTAAAAGTTAATATGGGACGACAGTTTCATAACTATAAGATATATAAAACCATCACCCGGTTAGATAATTAATAACATTGAAGACGTTTGCAAAGAAAACAAATAACATCCAAGTTCACCTCTTCATTTTCTACCGACTTCAAAAGTGAGGAGGTACTCAATTCGACTGTATATTTTTTATGGGTATTTTTTATGGTTTATATAAATTTGATCAAGGTCTGACCCATAGTTTTTGAGTTATTCTTAATAATTTATATTAATTAAATAAGTCGATTTAAATTAGTTTCTTATTTTGTTTCATTGTTTCCAGAAAAATATCCAGAGATCAAGAAGCTATATGGATACGACCCGCTGTTCAAATGGGTGGTAACGGCGATGGTGTTAAGCCAGCTGCTCGTACTTCCGTTCGTCAAGTACATGAGCTGGCCTGTTCTACTCATCGTCGCCTACTGTTTCGGCGGCGTTATCAACCACTCACTTATGCTTGGTGAGTTAAAATCTCACGTAATTTTTGACCTGATTTGATAACTCCGTATTCTAGTAGATATTAATTAATTACAAAAAGTTATTAAGCTGACTGCGTAGAATATCAGGAGTTTAATATTTTTAAGCGGTATGATATGGTACATGTTGTCCGATATTAATAAATAATATCTCGATCGATTTGTCATGATTTTTTTATTTCAGGAATGGTCCCATATAAATCTGAAACAAATATTCCATCCTTATGGGTGGTAAAATACGGGATGAAAATTTTAATGTGATTTAATGGAAAATATAACATAAGACGCCATTCTAGTTGTTACCTTTTGAAGTCGGTTTGTACTTTTGTTAAGAGTTAAATTATGATCTTTACTTTCATATAGAAAAGTGTGGTTGACAGGTTCCTCTAAATCTTTCTTCGATTTTCTTTTTTTCTTCTTATTTAATCTTAACCTGATAGCAACCAGGTCCTCTACTGGTTTTACATATTAAGCACGTCGCGAAAATAGTACTACCTACCCTTAACACCCTCGCAGTGCTATCGCGATGACTTGGGACAACTTCCAATTCTTCACCACTACATTATTGGGCGTTCGTAACACCCACTCTTATCTTGATTACCCATAGTCCCAGAAGCTCCGTTTGATATGGCACCACCATAAAGGTGCGGTTGTCATCTCCAAGAGAAATGTTTTCTCAAATTCCGATCCCACTCAGCAGCCTCCTGGACTATTACAGATTTGTAAAGGCGGCTACGGCCCTCCACGCCGAATCCTCACTTAGCATCAGTGACTGATAACTTACAGGGAAAGGTTTTATCCTATCCCCGTATCCTGTTATGGAAGAGACGGCCTTGTGAGCTGGAACACTAGACGAATGCAGGACTCATATTGACCGTACCGGAAGCGGAATCCTGATTTCGCCTACCGCATGGAAACCATATGACGTTGCTTCACGTCCAGTTTACCACATACAATTATTGTCACAGTGAAAACCCGTCTTTAGTAAAAACGTGTTTTCCCTAGTTAAAACCAGTTTTACTGAATTTAAGATACATATTTTTACTCCTAAACAAATTTGTATTTTAAATTAAATTGGATTTGTCTTTAAATGTCCTGTCATGGGAATAAATATTTGCGGCCTTGTCTGGTTCACTAGTATTACGTTGGTGGACTAAATGTTAGATCTACAGCTTCAGCTACCAGACTTTCCGCTCTACCAGGTGCCTGTAAAGGCCAACGCACTTTCCACCTGCGTCTTCATAAATTGGGCAGCAGTCTCTACATCAATCTATCAATCCGAGGAACTAGGCTCTAGAAGTCCTCTTTGTAGCCCTAATGATTAGTTATCCAGGGTAGGTCATGTATTGTTCTATTGACTTCCAGATCATCACGGTCACACGAGGCAAGAGTAAGGTCCCCATGTTCTGTGGTAATTTTCAAACCTTAAACCCTCGGTCTTATAATATGATTACTCTTTGTAATCTTAACTTGTAGATCCTAACTTCCGACGGTAAGGCATTAAAGATGACAAGACTTATCGCCACCGCCATTCTGCATGGGACACCTGTTCTAACAGGGAGCGGACGAGCACAATCACATTACGCCGCGCTGGAATCCATATTTTCACTGGTCAACTATCGGCCAAATCAAATAGTTTGCCAATATCGACCAACGAGCATTTGGAACAGTACACAGAGGTACAGTCGGCAGCCCTAATTGTAGGAACCAACAAGAACGTCTGCATATAAATTGTTATTTCCGTTCGGCCTCTTTTAAACATGGATTGTTATATCAAGACAATGAGCTCGAACAATCTTTCATTTTCTGTTCAAAACTTCAAATAGTACATAATAAATAATAATAACAAGCTTGATAGTTGAAACAGTCTAATTATCAGATCCATGCTGCAACTATATTAGTAGTATAGTTGTAGCACGAATGGGTCGGCTCGACCGGGGAAGGACCACGCACTCACAGACTACCAGCGTAAAATAGCAGCTTAACACTGCTGTGTTTCGTATGGTGAGTGTAGAGAACCGGAGACCCTATTTACTGCAAAAGAGGCATTCCATCTTAGTCCTCAGGGGTGACAACGCATCTGCATTTTGATTCTTAATTGAAGATAAATGTAGATGTCTATGGGCCACAGCATCCACTTACCATCAGGTGCACTGTGTGCTCGTTTCTATCCTATCGTATATAAAAAAAATCTTTTGTGTGGACCAACCTATATTACAAGCTCTGTTACCTTGAACTAGAATATCGTCTAAATAAAAAAAAAAATTTCATCCTTGGGGGAATATTTTCTTCAAATTTATGCAGAATTACTACTTTTGGGATATAGGTAGCCTTTTTAGTAGAAATAAATACCGTTTAAAACGGTACAGCAGTTTCCGAGAAATCGGTACGCTTACAAAAAAAACGCATACACAGTTAATATACTATACGTCATTCTTTTTTTGAGGTCGGTTAGATATAAGAACAAATTGTAAAATATGTTTTACGTTAACAATTTGTATGGAAAATGGATGCAAGACTGTATCAGATAGAAGTCCCTAATCCACATTCCAAGAAAAAGCTAATTTTATATACTCTGTATATCCAGAAGCGGTAGTTTTCGATAATATTTATAGTACCTACTTAGTATTTAAATATAAACCACTCATGATAGCATGGAATGAAATGTAAACAAAACAATTAAATAGTTTGTAAGCATTAAATTCATTATCATAGACATTAAAATAAATCAAATATAAGACACAAATCGTGACAGTAAGACGCATATAAAATGTAATGAAAGGTTTTTTATTTCGCTGCTTACACGAACATTCTAATCTATTTATTATTATTATTATTAGTCCCTACAAATTATTGTTTTCCATAGAAATGTAAATTATTAACAAGACCACATAATAACTGTGGAATTTGAATTCGGTCAATCGGTCGGGAGCATAGCAAACATATGAGGTTGATATTGAGAAAGAAGCTGACATTGCTCTAGTACCCAATAACTAGAATCTTTAAATTTGTACATACTGATATACATTATAATACATAACATAATATAGGCACGTAAGGAAACAGACATGCGTAACATCAACAAATATGCCTCGTTGCAGTTATAGAGTTGTATATCTATATGGTTGTAGCACTAAAGTTTCGACTCTACCGGAGAAGCACCACACTTTCACAAAATACCTACCAGCGTAAAATAGCAGCATAATACTGCTGTGTTTCGTATTGTGAGTGTAGAAAACCGGAAACCCATCCTAATGGAAGAGAGGCATCCCATACTAATAAACCTAAAAAAGTACATATTACACCTATGCCTGATGGCAACACTATGCTCAAAGTTGTTGATGTATATGTTTATTTAGGACGAACCGCCTGGCTAATTTAAAAGCAACTTCGACAGAGGTCAATTGACGGATCCAACTAGGTTGCGCAGCGGTCAGGAGATTGCAACATATATACCACAATAGGTATTACGTGACATTTATAGTCACTGCCAACACTTACAACTAGTGCGCGTTGTCATGGATGGCAATTGCTATATGGATCTGCAACGTGGTCCTTAACTTAAGGCCATACGAAGAAGCTTAAGATCGCGCTCAGCGAGCCTATGCTCGAAGTTCGTCTGCGTGATGGAATTCGTAATATGGGTATCCGAAGTAAAACCGAAGTAACCTAACGGATAAGCAAGCTAAAGTCAATTGGCCGCCAATATAACTCAAAGAACTGACTACCCTTGGTGAGGAAAGATTCTCGAGTGGCAGCATCGGCCCTATGAGCGAGACAGCCTCCATCAACCCCACTGTATAGAATGGAATAACGATCTGGTAAGACTAGCAGGAAAGTCGATGGATGCAAGTTGGTAGGAACCAGGTTTTGTGGCGTTCCTTGGGGGAGGCATATGAAACAGATACTAAATAATGAACATAGTTAATGAACAGAAATCAGAGCAGGGTTATAAGCAAAATTAGAAACAAATCGTAGTGAGCCTTTTCCTTTGCACACCGAATTATACCTATTATAATTATATTCAAACCATACAACGTTAATCAACTTAGTATTTTTTTTTATGAATCCTTTTAGTAATTACGTCGAATCGAATTATCGTGTTGACGCCAATATCCTTATTACAATAGACTAGAGTGACATTTATTTGAGTGTTTTCCGATAAGCGTTATCTGAAAATAGACTGTACAGTGCTTAATATAACACTATAAATATTGTTACGAGCTTCGGGTTCGAAACAAATAAAAACTGCCGACTGAATTACCAAAATTGACACTTTAATTACACAACACTAATTACAATCAAAAATCACACTAATAATAAAACACAGTTCGCCGTTATTTCGCTTCGAAGTATTCTCTTGTATCGCCAATTCAATACTGCCCCGGTCGTGGTCTATACCGGTCTTATATAGGGCCTCAGATAGTTTCCAGAACCTTCTACTGTAGCGACATCTAGAATGTTCGAGTACATATCGGTCCCGAAATTTCTGGAAGGATCTCGACTCTCCTAGTTCTGCTACTCGACACTAGAGGGCGCTAGTGTGACTAGTGTTGCCATGTACAAGACATTAATAGTGGCGCGCAATACTTTCATTTACTCGACACTAGGGGGCGCTAGTGTAACTAGTGTTGCCATGTACAAGACATTAATAGTGGCGCGTAACACTGCCCCCTCCTAAGACATGCTCGTCCCGAGCATTATTGGCCCCATAATAACGCGCCAGTCGATCCACATGGACAATCTTAGGAGTACCTCTGGCACCTTTCTGTATCCGGTAGGTTACATCATTGATCCTTGTCACAATCCGGTACGGTCCGTCCCATTTAGCTTGAAGCTTAGGAGATTTCCCTTTGCTGCGAACTGGATTGTGTAACCACACTAGTGAACCTTCATCAAAGCCCTTGTTGTTCATTTTGCGGTCATACCGTGTTTTCATCTTCTCAGACGTTTGCTGGCCCGTCTGTCTGACGTGCTCGTAAAT